CTATGTACCACACCTTGTGCTGCACTTCCTGGCTTTGGAACACATCTCCATAAACAAACAACAGGAGGCTGTATCTCACCTGTTTGTTCCAAGAGTACGACACCCCCATAACAATGTAACTACTAGTAGAAAGTCTGACTGTTTGGACCATGATGATGTTACTAGTAACACAAGCTTCTAGTACGCTCCAATCCACAGTGCTAAAAAGAAGAACACCATCTCCTGAAACAAACTCCTTTTAACTACTACTAGTACTAGTAGGATGGTCCAGAGTCCATGCCTACCAGTAAGCACTTCAACATCCTTAATGCTCACCAATAGTAGAGCACGGGAAAACAAATCATTACAACCTACTKATCTACTAGTAGGAGTTAATGTTCATGTTTAGATCTGCACTGGTGCCTCTGATTCATTGAACATTAAAATTGCACCAAGAAGTTGCACAGGTTYASAATCCAAGCCTCAAAAAATCAATACATTCCAACAGGAATTTGTTGCAGAAGTGCTCTGGCAAACAATTGCTAGTACTAGTAGTACTGGTAGTTGCTGCAAATCTCCTTCTTTCTCACCTCTATTCATTTCCTATTGTCATCTCAATCAAAGGCAGGCGAGCACGGCCATCTTCTTTCATAAGGCCAGAAACAACAAACCAACAATGTTCTACCCACCACTAGAAAACAGCTTCACACCATACAGTAACAAGAAGATGTTATCTCAAATGGACCTCCTGCAAGAACCCCCTATAACACCACAGCACTCCCTCCACCAACAAGAAACTCCTGCTATAACTTCTTGTAGTGGTGTGGCAGGAGGAGAACAATCAATAAATTGCAGTCCACAAGGTGAAGGAGAAGAAGAAGAAGAAGCCAAAACAACAAACAATGCTCCTGCTGATCATTACTTCTCACTATTTCCACCAACAACTCTGCTGATAACAATGCCTTCATCTGCTGCTGCAATCTCAAACTAAAGTGCCCCTCATCAGTGTCTAGTCGGCTACKGGGTTTTCRGGAATGACTCATTTTCCATTTTCTCCAAAATGGTTGAGAGTTTTCCAAAGGGACTTATTCTGCTCCTTCGGACAACAAGTGTTGGATCAAAAGCAAAAAGATTCTCGTTGACGAAAGATCTTCTGAGATCATCATGCACAAAACATCATAAAAACCCTTTTTGAGGTTCCTCTTCCTAACGTTGTCACCGCCATGCGGAACTTCGCTATTGCATTMCTCGCACTCGGAAAGAGATCGCAAGGRTTCTCTAAGGCYTCATATCGTASCTTCTATCGAACACCGACGTCACTCGAAATGACGAAACGTGTACTGGTTCCAATCGCGGATGGGTCCGAAGAAATCGAGACTACTTGTATCACAGACACACTGACCCGGTTTGGAGCAGAGGTGACCGTAGCATCAGTTATGCCAGAAGGGCAGCTGGTGTGCAAAATGAGTCGAGGAATCAAGGTGAGATTCAATYGACGTGCTCGTGTTGTGCATCACGTTATGTTTCAAGTAGTTTCTACCAAACTTCCCGTTCGTATGTTTACGTCACGAGCCCGGAACGTCTCACCGCTCGTCAACTTCACAATCCCTTTTCAGTTCATGGCAGACAAATCAATTGAAGAGGCAGCGGAAGAAGARTTCGACCTTGTCGTTTGTCCCGGAGGAATGCCTGGTACGATATACTCGATACACGAAAGCAATATAAAGACAATTTCGAATCTTCTGGGAAACTACGATACTATTGTTTATTACCTTTTCTCACCATTCACCACCGTGATTTTGCATTGACTCATTTCTTCTATAGGAGCAGAGCACATGCGAGACTCCAAGACTTTGGTCTCGATTCTTGAAAAGCAGAAGACCGCTGGCAAACGATATGCTGCTGTTTGTGCTGCTCCCGCGGTCGTCTTGGCGTCCAATGGTTTGCTCGAGGAGCCGGGGGCGACTTGTTATCCAGCTCCATCGTTTCGTGAAAAGCTTACCAACCCAGTGGACGATGCAGTGGCAGTGACAGGAATGGTCACAACTTCGCAGGGACCAGGCACGTCATTATCATTTGCTTTAGAGCTCGGAGAGCAGTTGTTTGGAAAGGAGAAACGAGACGAAATCCAAAAACAAATGCTGCTTTGATTTGAAAAACTTGAATTCAAAGATGAGATTCACTTCGTGGGTAGATATTTCTATCTCAATGGAGGTTCTGATTTTCAATTGGCCAAWATAGTCTGATTGAAAAACAAACCATTTCGCTCGATCACTTGAATGACTTCAGAATAAACAAATTATGACGAATATTTTGTSCTGTGTTCCGTTTTAGTGTAATCTGAACACAGTTAATAACCCTATCCCACAACTTGGATGACATTATCGTCAACAAACACAGTGTCCCAGTAAATCCAATAAACTCGTGTAGACGTTTACAGTACCCACCAGCATTATTTTTTTCTACCCCTRTGATGTGTTACAACTTGCGTTCCTTGATAGGAAAAAGGATGTTGCGATAGGAGTCAKCAACGTTGAACTCCAATGAATTACTGTACTAGACCAATAGCTCATACCCTCTTTACTGTCACTACACTACTTAGGGGATTATAATGGTATACTGATGTTCAAAATAAGGGAACAGATCTCAAACTGTACAGCTCTACATCACAATTTCATGTCTGTAAACCTAAGGTTCTAGAGCCTGGATTACARTATGGCTTTCTGGTTCTTGGAGTTCTCAGAAAGTGTAAGTCATTTACAAGTAGATTTTCTTCACAGAGTCCATGACTAAGCCTTTTTCATCATTAACAATGAGGTTGGACCAAACTGCACCAATTTATACTGCCCTGCTATGGAGTAGAAGGACAAAGGACAATCATCATCACATACTAGCAGTATTGGTGATGAAAATAACTTCACCTTCTTTCTCTGTCTTCATGAAAAGTCTTCCTTCTTGAAGACATCAAAGATCTAACCAATCATGCTAACAATGTTTGTCTGGTAATTATACTGTAATTATATCAAAGAGTAATTTGGATAAAATTGATACTCCAGTCTCCAAATCAATCCAACATACACCTGTCTTTCAACCTTAGAAAAGGCCTCTTGAATCATCTTCTAGTATATCCTTTCTCCTGGCAATTTCAGTGCTGAATCWTTTTCTGGCTTCCAACAAGAAACTTCTCCAAGAGCTTAAAATGTTAAGTCATTAATAGCCTTCACACTGTACCAGCTAGTGTTCAATTGCTTCATCTCCTGTTTGTGCAAATCATCTATTATGAAGCTGGTGTCATGCCAACAGCTTTTAGGGTAGTTGTATGTGTAAATCTGTACCTTGTCATTAGGCCTTCCCAAAGCAGACATAAATACCATTGATGAAAGTTGAGACTTCCTATCTATTGTTCTTGTATTGTTTATCCTATAAAGTGACCTAGTAGTAGTAGTAGTAGTAGTAGTAGTAGT